CTCCATTTTCATACAAAAATATGACTGAAGCATTTGTCACCCCTATTTTTGTATAAAAATGGAGATCTGATGAATTAGGGCTAAAATCCCGGTCCTAAGGCAAAAAATAATAATCCCATGAACCCTTAAAGATGTTCTTAATAAAATTAATTGATATATATATATATATAGTCATCCACAGACGGAATGTTTCGCTGTATCACAGCTCATCAGTGTGGTTAGACGCCCGGTTGCCTCCAGCTAGGATCGAAACCTGATTGAATTGGCGTCAGTCAGGTATTCTACCACTAAGCGGTTGGCACACGGCAGGATGAAGGTTAATTTAAGTGTATTTATCTTGTCTCAATATTCCATATATATATATATATATATATATATATATATATATATATATATATATATATATATATATATATATATATATATATAATGAATATTGAGATAAGAAGTATTAATCTAAAGAAGGTCTGTCTAATATCTTACGGTATTCTACTAATTTTCGAATAAGATATTGTCCGTCGGGATTAAAATAGTGGATAAAATTTTTGTATTTTTTTTTGTTTCACACTGTCAACACCCAGTTCTTGATAATAACTGAGGCGGTCGAAAATACTTGAACAGCATACAAACATGAACGTCAGAGTGTTTATCCAGACATTTCATCCCGATGTACAACCTTTAATACTCTGCATTATTCAGTACATTTCTTTCCACAACATAGTTTATTAAGGCGCCTCTACGGCACTGCTTAATTTCAGTTATGGTCAGTTTCTGTTGCCATAGCAGGATATGACAACACAACTGCAAAATTGAAACATGCTATTATTCATTCCTCTGAGTCACTTGAAGGGACAGGATAAAATATTTACTTTGCAAGCAAAATCACCTGCAGTATGTTAAAAGGTTAATATATATATATATATATATATATATATATATATATATATTTTCTTAGTATAAATGTTAACGTTTATATAAGAAATAATATCGGATAAAAATATACTTTCACACACACACACACACACACACACACACACACATATATATATATATATATATATATATATATATATAGGGCGCAGTAGATAAATTGTCTAAAAATGAAAATAATACTGACACCACATTTTAACAGATATATTTACCAAGATTAAAAAAATATATTCTGTAATACTAAAAAGTAAATTTTTTTCAATAAAATCTCCATTGGCTTCAACCACTGCCTCCAGGCAACTTCGGAATCTCTTTCGACTCTTCTGGACGGTCTCCTTGTTTAAGTTGGCGAATGCTGACAAAATCCTTGCCTTCAGTTCATCTTTGGTGTTACAAGGAGTTTTGTTGGTGCCTTGCTCAACTGCGACCCATATATAATAATCAATGTGGTTTCAATCCGGGGTGGCCAGATGTAAGGTGTAATGTGATCGCAGAAATTGTCTGACAGCCATGACTGGGATTTCGTGCTTGTGTGGCATGGTGCAGAGTCCTGTTGCCAGAGATAGGGTCTTCCAGCAGCCACCCTCTTGATCCAGGACAGCACTACCTCCTGAAGGTGCTTGATGTAGGCCTCCGAATTGAGTCTGAGGCCCTTATCGACAAATTCGGCAGTTCTTTTCTTATCAGAAAGATCAGAGTGAGTTTTCTGAGCTGCCGTACCTTTGTAATCACCATTGGACTCATCCATCTCTTCCCGAATCCTCTGCATTTTCCTTAGATTAACACCAAAACACTCTGAAATATTCGTATTGGATCTTCCGGTGCGATTGCCAAGCATGCCGTTTCCAGATTTCTTCCAGAGTGAATTGCGTCAAGGTGCTCTTTTTCACACAGATGGTTCCCGACTGACCCTACTATAATGTGCAGTCGACAAAATCAAACACAAACAACGCGCATGCGCGAAATTAAAAATATAATATGCCGAAAATTTACCCATCGCACCCTGTCTATACATATAAATGTGAGTTGGAGATCCAAAGTAGATCAGATATGGATAGGAATCTGAGAAGATAATAAAATAAAATAAAGAAAAAGTAGGAAACGAATCTCAATCGAACATGTTTCAACTTTATTTAAGGCTTCATCAGATATCGAGAATAGAAATGAAAAAGCAAAGAGATAGAGTAGTGGTATATTATGATTTTTGGTCAGACACGTGTCGCTAGTATTCACGCAATAGATAATATGTGGGAGGGACATTTTGGACGTTAAAATATTTGATAGTGTAAGAGTGTGTAAGTAAAGAAACGCCTGTGTATCTAGGCTTTTCTTGGACGGTAATGTTAATTCATGTAAGTATATAAGTTTGTGTGTGTGTAAAATGTCTAAACCCAACATACCCATCAGATCTTTTGTGTACGGAATTAATAGTGCACCCCCATAAAATACCTAGAGCCATCATAAGGATCCTAACTCTATTCCTAGGCACCATCAGCACAATACACATCACTCCAATGAATATGAAGCATAAATATGACTAACAGGTCTATGGCAAGTTTATGCATCAAATCATTATATATCAATATGTCCATCATGAAATACCTTAATATATTAAGAAATCACCTCAAAAAATCCAAGGTAAAACTTCCTCTACCCGTCTACAATTTTATTAAGATATGCAAATTAATTACTAACCATTGTTACTTTTCTTTCAATAACATTTTCTACAAAAAAAAAAATTCGATTTACCTATGATGTCATCTATCAGTTGTTTTCTCGCTTAGTTCTTTCCAGAATTTTTAGAATCCACCCCATTTAAATATACCTTGCCTAACAGCTCTACTTACCTGAGATACATAGATGATGTCCTCAGACTTTATCTTCAGGATACAAACCTATTAAACATAATAACAAAACCCAATAAGGTTGAAAATACCATCGAATTCACACATACAAGTGTCTACCTTTCCACGACATCTTAATACGTAACAGCAATAAATAAACCAAACACCATTTCAAATGCCGGAATTTATCAATAAAAGTGTCTACAGTGCAAACACATTTCCGTGGGGAGACATCACGGGATCTAAAAACCAGGATCTATGAACACAAGAGAGACTTGTGTTTAGACAGACATTCTAACTCTCTTGTCTTACATCGAAACGACGTGGAACTCAACTTTGATTCCACTAACGCCAGCCTAATTAAAAAAGAACAAAAAATAAAAACAAAAAAAAGGAGAAAATATTTTGAAAATATATTCATAGCATTACTAACAACTGTAAACATTTGCTTAAAACATTACATCATATCGCGATCTTTCTATAGATACCATTATTAATGACGCTAACTTATGTCTATCTAATACATAAAATAAAGAAAATTTACAAATCCCTTTAAAAAAATACGCATGAGAATTGCTTTAATTATAAATCCAACCAAAACATGATTATTACAATAATAATGCGTTTCATCGACCCACACAGAGTTGATGATTGATGACCACAGACATTCCCACACATACACATACATAAAAATGCAAAAATCCAAACTAATACAAAATTACTGCAATATATTGCTACATTTCACCGATATATACGAGGGTGACTTTTATAGACATTCCACAGACACGCACTTATACACTTACATGAATTAGCGTTACCGTCCAACATATTCTTAGACACACAAGCGTTTCTTTATTTACACACACTTACACTATCACACATTTTAACGTCCAAAATTTTCCTCACACGTATTTATATATTATCTATTGCGTTAATACATTTGATGCGTGTCTGACCAATGAGAACTAACCAAAAATCATAACATACCAATTTGCTTTTTTCATTTCTATCTTGATCTCTGACGAAGCCTCAGTAAAGGTGAAATATGTTAGATTGAGATATATTTCCTACTTGTTCTTTACTTATTTTATCACAGACACACACACACACATATATATATATCAGGAATATTGAGGCATATAATTAGAAGGAAGTGTCCACGTGTGCTTCTTATAGTATGTAAAATAGATAGGTTAGTTAATAAAACAAGGGCAAACGAAAAAAAAAACAGCCTAATTTTTTAATCTAAGTTTATTCTGATAAGAAGTTTCGCACAGCGAGAAATCAAACAGAGATCGGATTTTTACTAATAATACCATCTACACAGGCAGTTACACCAGCCACAAGGACAACAGTTGGTGAGTCTTCCCCCGTTTCTCTGTTTATTTCTCGCACCGCTGATAAAGGACACGGGCGTGCCCCAAAATTCCGGATTTAAAACCTTAATTTCCGTGCTTCATTTTTGTCTTGTGGTTAATAATTAATATTTAATAAATATTTTTCGTTCTGATCACATTGGTACCCTTTCGGTTGCCTTTGTTTTATTAAGCAATCTATCTATTTTACACACACACACACACACACACACACACACACACACACACACACACATATATATATATATATATATATATATATATATATATAAAATGGATTAAATTCGACATATTTTCTAATTTATTTGTTGACAACTTCTGGCTTGAATATTCAGAGGACTCAGATTTGTCGAATATTCAGGCCAGGATGTAAATAAAAACAAAACATCTACTCAAATATGAGCATCCATTTAAAAATGACGTTTAAACAAATAAATTAGAAAAAAAAAAAATGTATATTTAAATCATATCTATCTATCTATCTATCTATCTATCTATCTATATATATATATATATATATATATATATATATATTGCTTGACTTTATATATATATATATATATATATATATATATATATATAAAAAGTCAAGCAATGATTAATGCATTAATTACCTTTTGTTTGAACTTTGATAACTGAATAAGATTTTCCCTTTGTCACATTTTACGGAAGTTTTGATAGACATTAGCTTTGTGGTGAAAAAAAATATTAAAGATGCTGATTAGATCGACAGATAAGAGAAGACAGAATGGAATGAGGGAAGCGTAAAGAAGGGGAAAAGAATGCAAAGAAGATGAAAGAAGAAGAAAAAAATAGGAGAAAAAAGACAAAGAGCAAGGTGAAGAAGAGGTTAAAAACAAATTTGGTAAAGGGGGTCAAGTTGGGCCCGGCAGTAACATGATGGATAGGGTATGATGGGTGGAGGGATCTCGGAGGCACACGCCATTTTCATATCACTATCGGAGGCGACTAAAAGCTTCTCGAATGGATAACACTGATTGAATGGGACTGAATAACCCCTGCTGAGAGGGAGAAAAAAAAAGAAAGACGGGGGAGAAGAAGAAAGAAAAAAAAATGAATGACCAACAGAATTAGTGGTACTCAAGCGGAGGTGAACGGGTTAAGTTCTGTCTAAAAAATAAAAAAATCGAAAGAACGAACAACAACAACAACAGTAGCAACATGGCTGATGGGTTGTTTCGTGGTTAGAGGAAAGAAAAATCGAGCGATGTTGCGAACAGTTCTTCAGCATTCGAAAGAGAAACTAAAAACTATAAATAAAGAAAAAAAAATATGAAAGTGGTGAAAGCGGGAGGAAAGAAGGAGAGTAGACGACGACGATGATGATGATGATGGGATAAAGAAGAAAGCAGGTATGCTGATGACGACGACGATGATGATGATGATGATGATAGGTTGGAACTGTTTCTGCCACTAAGAAAGAAAGAAAGAAAGAAAGAAAGAAACAAACAAACAAACAAAGTAAATCAAAAAAGAAAGAAAAAAAGAAAGAAAAATTAGAAAAGAGAAAGAAAAGCACAAAAGAAAGAAAAACAAAAAGAAAAAAGAAAGAAATAAAGAAAGAAGAAGAAAGAAAGAAAGCTTGGTAGAAATGGAAATTTGAGAAAGTGTTGGAACTATGCAGATGACAACTTTTAAAATCAACAACTATAAAGGTGAACGCTGGAATACTGAAGAGATTTGCTATCACTTGATCTCTTTCTAAAGCCACTTCCCTCTTATAAAAACTCAAAGACTAAATAATAATAATAATAATAATAATAATAATAAAAGACAACAAATTCAGGATGTGTATGCTTATTGACAGAGCAGTATCATCTGAGAGAAACACCTCCACGAAAATTATCGAGAAATTGTCCAAATATAAGGACATGGAGATCGATATTAACAGGGTGTGGGGAATGAAGACTGAATCGGTACCAATAGTAATCGGAACTCTGGGCCTCGTGAGAAAAGGAATGAACAATTTTACTAACAGTGTTCCAGGTGACATCAACCTACAAGTTGCCCAGAAGATCGCCCTACTTGGAACATCCCATATACAAAGAAAAGTGCTATCAATTAAATAACAATTCTCCTATAGAGCGTAAGGACTATAGTTTGAACTTGGCTCTACAGGATACAAAGCAGGAAACATAACATTCACAAATAATAATAATAATAATAATAATAATAATAATAATAGGCAAAATGTCGACGAATAGGTACAAAAAACTAACAAAAGAAAAAGGAAGAAATAATAATTTATAGTGACTTATTAAAAGCTAAAAGGTTTAAGGTTGGAGAAAGAAAGAAAGGTAAAACGGAAAGCTAAAGTGGAGAGAGAGAGAGATGGGGAAGAAAGAGGAAGAAACACATAAAAGAAGAGGAAATAAGAAAACGAATACAATAAAAAAAAATAAGAATTGGGGGAATATTTCGATAAAACCAATAATAGTTGAATGGTAGTGAGCACTTTAAGTACTACGAAAAATCAACACAAAATCAAAAATAAGATAAATAAACAGACAGACAGAGAAAAAGATAGATAGATAGATAGATAGATAGATAGATAGATAGATAAAGAGAACAAGAAAACGAACCAGTCAGGCGGTCAGTTTTCAAGTAACCCTCTGACCCCTACGACAAACTTCATTATTAGCAATATCACCACCACTACCATCATAATACTCATCTTCGGCAACGCAAGTATTACTTACTTCTAGGTGTGGGTCAGTAGTTAAAGCATAGGGTAGCTGGATTAAAGAGCTAAGAAGATTTTTAATCCTGATAAAGGGTCATTGGAATTTGCTCCCGTATAAACTGAAAATTTATTTAAATTTAAGAATATCGGCCGCTTATTTTTAAGGGTCACCATTTTAACAGTGACATCGTTGGTATTCAT